GCTCGGGGGGGGATCGTGGGGGCAGCCCTGAGGTGACTGTGGGCCTGGGGAGGACCGTGGGGCAGCCCTGAGGTAAATTTGAGCTTCCATCCCGGGGTAACCATGGGGTTCACCCCCATTAACAGTGTGGGGGGACCATCCCCCCCCCAGCATAACAGTGGGGCAGGTCTGGGCCCCCACCCTGGGCACCTCTGGGGTGCTATGAGGATCCCTGCCTTGTGCAGTGTCCCCCAACCCTGGGGTGCCCCCCCCCCCAGTTACCCAGGAATAGCCCTGGGTAAAAATAAATCAGGCAGGGCTTTCTGCAGAAGCCGGGACTGTAACACAGCAGGGTCTCGCCGTATTTAACACGTACGTTTCTGAGCCTGAAGGGTGGTGAGGCACGGCCGCCCGGAACAAAGAAAACTCTCGTTTCTGCCTTTTGTTTCTGCCGCGGCTCTGCCGGCTAGACCCGGATCTTGGATGCCTCAGACGCCTGGCTAAAGCGAAACGACCCCGATGCAGCGCACGGGGCTGAGCGTGTCCGCTGGGAGGGCTCGATTTTAGGGTGAAGTGCCCGTGGTTAACCTGACGTCAGTGAAGCTGGAGGCCAGTTCTCATCCCGCAGTTTCATCCGAACGGGCATTTGCTGCTTCAGGGGAGCGCAGTTCAAACCCTGGCAGGTTTTGTCTCCGAATAACCAAAATAAAAAATTTTTTTTTTGTTAAATTATTTTGAATTGGCTGTATCCCACGCTGCGTGTTACAGAGCAACAGCAACGCTGACATGCTGGGGCTTGCGACGCCGAGAGATCCAGCTCCTGCCTAGGAGAAAGGGAGCAGTTTGAATCCTGGTGGAAAAGCCCTGCGAGTTTTATCAGCTGGTGATTTTTATTTTTTTTCCCCTTGATTCCGACGGTGTCTGTATTTCTGTGGCCCTTTACAAGAAGCAGAAGACTTAGCACGATGTTTTTGGCAAAGAGCTGTTTGGCACAATTACTGCTTTGGTCAAAAGCTTACGGGGCGGCTCGAGAGCAAACCCTCGTTTCGTCAGGCTCCTAATTGTAGACCTCCAGTTTCTCACCTGGCACACAAGGAAGAGGAGGCGCGGAGCTGTAAAGTGTTAAATTAACATTGGATTTAGCAAAGATGGTTTCACACCTCTCTGGGCTGGCTCAGCCGGCTTTTCTCTTCCGAAAATGAGCGGCACAGCATGTTGTTTGGAGAGATGTTCTGCTGTGTGGAAATACAGGCTCTGCTGTTCCTGAAAGCCCGAGTTCATTAATAATGAGATACCGCGGAATTAGTGGGACGGGTCCTTTCTCTGGCCCCTGTCTGGGGATGATTGCCTGATGGGAAGCCTCTTGAAAATCGTCGCGGTGTGATTTAGCTTGTGATTACCCTGCTTGGACCGATTGCTGCTAACGCCTGCCCTGGTCCCGTGTTTTCTCTCTCCGCAGGCTCCATCCGTCTCCCATCTCTCCAGGATGAGAGGGGTTTGGGTTCGGCTTTTCCCCTCCCCCTGTAGTTGATAGTTTCGGAACCAGAGGTGATGCTGGAGTCGAGATGGCAGACAGCGTGAAAACCTTCCTTCACGACCTCGTCAGGGTACGTCGCCGTGTTTCAGGCCTTCTGTCATAGGGCCTGGTCTCATTTGCTTTGGTGATGGTGGCTCTTCCGTGGGGAGCAGCCTCCTATGTCATCGAGGGTGGGTTAAAAAATTTGAAGGAAAAGGGGCTCCGGGTGTATTTTCATCAAAGCCGTCAATTTTGTAAAGCAGAGATACCTGCAGGCAGGCTTTCCCCTCGCCGCCGCCGGTTCGATTTGACATGGCTATGTGGGATGCGTTGCTCGCCCGGTGTTTCCAGAGTCATTTCGTCCTGAGCTGGCCGTCGTGCGGCGAGTCTGTTGCAAAGG